ATTCTGTGATCACATTGCAGACAGGTTTCAGACATCTGAAAACACCTTCAGTTTTACTTGATACCTTATATTCTCTTATATCCAAGACAGCATACGCATGGGTTGGAACTAAACCCCATTTTTCTCCTTCCTCTTCAGACATCACCCCTGTTGCAGTTGTGATAAGGACATCTCCCTTGTGAAATCTGTTCAAAAAGAGGTTAAAAATAGCTTAATTAAAATTTTGCAAGTGGCTTTTTTTGTTTGTTCGTGTTTTTACACTACCTACTAGCATGACCCTGCTTTATAAAAACTGCAATACAGGGGTTTTTTGTAAGCAGAAATCACTCCTGAAAAAGCTTGAGGAAGTGGAACTATTTTCTTTCAATATTTAAGTGTAGGCTTTAAGTGAAAAAATATTATTTTCATTACAAAATAAAAATCAGCGTTTATCAACCTGAAATTCAATGTTTCACTTATTTAAGATATTCTTCACAGATTTTCAGCTGAACATAAACGTGGCTTCATCTATACTTAGCATACACTTAGTAAACACATATATACACTGCATATAGCAAATAAACAACTCTGTCACATTCCCAGGATTCTGAAGGAGCTCTGTCCCCCAGCATAGGCCTTACAGTTCTGAGGTCTTACTGAGTTCTGCAATTGTTCTGAATTGCAATTGTTAATTTTGTAACAATTATTGTTGTGAAGACATACTAGCATGTTTTCCAGCCCATGCTAAAATCCAAGTACATACTCAGCATCCCTAGCCAGTTTACAGGGCCACTGAATTATGGGTCGACACACTTTCAGTCTAGCACAGGTGAATGATAGTGATGCGATAATGGCTAGATCCCATCCTAATCGCAGTCACACCTCCAAATTACAATGCCAGAATATTTGAAAAGTTGTTGACAACTAACTGAGAGCTCCTAACCAACTGAAAAAGCACTCTAGAAAGTGAGTCATGCTGTTTTATAATGAATGCAGATGTTTCAGCCAACAGAATATCCCCCTTCTATTGCACTGACATGCATAAGAAACTGGTTGCACAATACAGTTTTGAAAGAAGTCAAGGAACTTGCTAGCTGACATTTATAAATTACAGCTATATCATTCACCATAAGTAGAACTGTTATGGTAGGTCTGAAGATCAATACTGCAGTTTTGATAGACTTTTGCTGCTCTTCCAGTACATTTTACTGATGGGGCACAATAACCAAGATCTTGTGATATGATTAGAAATACTGTATTGTATCTGCTTGCTAAGGACAGCAGAACAATGCCAAAGTTCTGGGGAACTGTGTGGGAACACAGAGCACGTTTCCTTCTACTTTTAAAACACTTAACTTGTATATGAGTTCCAAGCTGCTCTTCTCTGACTCTATATTCTTTTTTCTTCATGAAGAAATGGACTAGTGTTGTTTGGGTTTTTTTTCAAATGCCAAGAAGAGAAATCGCCTCAAAATTCCACAAATTCCACAATATTTTACTTTTCTATTTTATCTAAGCCACTAATACCCCAGCTTTGCTTCTTCCAGAAAGCATATGGAGGTTTTATGAAGCACAACTTGTCATACTACCAAAATTCTATCAAAGGATCTATGGTGAGTGTACTGTTTTTACACTGGTAATACAGCTACTACACAGCAAGCATTTTAATTACTTAGGAAAGAACAAACTTCTACCTCTGATAAAGCATTCTGAAAGTACTATCTTTATTGAAAGCTTGATTGTCAGAGTGCATAGCCATTCTTTCAGGTATCCAACCAGTCAGTGCATGGAGATCAATATTCTGAAATTCAAGCATTCAAAAGAAATCAGAATAGATAATCCATCTATAAACATATGATGTCTGTACACAAATTATAAAATGAAAGAAATCAAGTATACACAAGTAACAATATATCTCCACACATAAAAGGCTCAAGATTAAGAGTATATTAAAAAAAACCCAACAAACCAAAAACTTATTTGATTAGTTTAGGACAAGATTTCCAAAGCCTCTCAAAAACAGACAAAAAAGGCAGAAAGTGAACTGATGAAAGAAACTGGAATTTCAGAGCAATAGAATCATAATAGAATGAGCAATTTTATGATGTGTTGTATTTATTTCGTTCATTTTAAAGCACAGTCTCAGAAGCACTATTTGGAACCTTGCTATTATATATGCATTTTAAATAATTTAAGTTTTACTTCTAAGCCTCTGGGTTTGGGTTTCATATTCTTTTTGGTAAAGCCAACTCTGACATGTATTTCCATAAAAAGATGCTTTAATCTCCTCATTTAATCTCCTTGAAATATTGCTTATTCCCTTTTCTTTTGCTTTGTACTTCTCAAAGCAAAAGCAGCGACTATAAATGCTTGAAGTGTCAATAACCAGCCCTGGTGGGTGGGAACTTGAATTACAACACAGCCAGAAAGAAACCCTGATTATACAAGGAAGCTGTAATACAGTTGAAAGCAGAGGGGGCAGGAAGGGTGGACATTAAATGTCACAAGTCAAGCTGTTTTTCCAGATAGCAAGTTAGAGGATGACAATGGGAATAAAACATGACTATTCTCACCAGCTTCTGTCCTCCAAAATAAAGTAGCCCAACATTGACATAAACATACATAAAAACATATGCCACATTTACCCCTCATATAAAGCCACTTTTGTCTCCATAATATTTTTTCAAAAGGTGATAATTACCTAGTATACCTTCCAAGAACATGAATATCAGGACATCAACTAGAATGTGAACAGCACCATGAAATAAACAATATACTGCTAAAATTTTAAAGGCTTTTAAATTAAAAGCAGAAACACTTCCTAAGTAACGAAAACAGATTATGTAGGCTGCTCATATGAGTAAACCTGCCCTTTTTAAAAGAACAATTTGCATGTCAGCCTAGCTGCAGTATGATGACTGTTCCTTTAGTAACCACATTAGAGGAACCCATTACATATTTATGTAAATGAGTGGAACAATCTGATAAACAAACTTTCACAGATCAAAGTACTTACTCCCTCTATAGACATGTACTAAATGACTAGCCTGTTCCTTTCCTAGCTGGCTCCCCTACCTAATGAGGGAGAACTGTCCTATATATTGAACAACAGTTAGAAACCAAAATCAGCAGTATTGATATGGGAAAAAAAAAATCTTTTACCCAACACTTTAATCTAGACTCTATATAAACATATATATTTCCCAACCATAAGTGCCAATCCTGCAGTCAGAGAACTGCCCATCAAGATGTCTTGCTTATTCTATTTTGGTGGAATAAATCTCATCAAGTACAGCTAAGCATATTTGTGAAAGAAAGAAACAGAAAAAAATATATTAGAAAACGTCACACCCAATACTTGCCTCCCCAAGAAATTAAATTATTTCACTACAAGGAAAGTTATTTGACCCAAGATTATCTAAGTGGAACTTTTGCCTCTTAGAAATAATCTAGTACTTACAGAATTTGATCCAGGAAAATCATATCCTCCCATGACCTTCATGTAAGCCTTTTCTATTAGCGATACCCATAATTCATTCTTATTGTTAGAATAAGAGCAGAGCAGTTCCCCACTATGATCAACAGGTAACTGGTCATCTATGATTACCTGTGTGAAATAAACAAATGAAAAATCATCATAAAGCTAATAAAGTATTTTGGATATTTTAAAAAATAAAACCAAACCCTCATTAATATACAGTTTCTCAGATAGCCAGATCTGACCATCACTCTCTGATGCTGACACCTTTGTCAATCCTGCAGTGGTTTGCCCAAGTGAATAAGAAACTCTATTGCCAGCTCCTACTTGCACTGGTCCACTGGGTGACCTGTGATACGCACCTTGCTTTCCCCTGTGTAAAGTGTCTAATACCTACTGAAAAATGTAGCCACAGAAAATTTCAGTGTAATTATGAGCATTAGAAAAAGAAGAGAAAAGCCTAACAATATCCTTCACCTAATTAGGAAACAGAGCATGGACCATGCTTAGTAGTCAGCAGAAAAATAATCAGTTATTTATCTATACGGAAACGAACTATGTGTTGCATCACTTTCATAGCCTCTACTTCAGATTTAAATTTCTTCTCTCCGAAAAGGAGAAAAAAAAAAACCCAAACAAAAACCACCCAAAGTAGCAGTTATGAAAGTATTAACATTTCTTCTTTAAATTAGGTAGAATATATTTGGCATTATTATGGATTGTTAGTGCAGTACATGTAGTGGTCTGAAGCAGTTTCCCAGAAGAGATGTTTCAGTTTCATGTTGGCATTAGTCAGTTACCAATACAGGCTACCAACACAGCACATTTTCTGGTCAAATCTGGCCTGTGCAGGAATGAATAATGCTTTTCTCAGAAAAGCAAATGGCCATTCAACCTAACAAAAAGCAGCCATTAGGAGATATTTTGGAAGGAGTATTAAGAGCAAGGCAAGAACACAAATGATACTTCCCTGAAACACTCGTTCAGATTCCAGAATTTTGCAACTCAAGGACTTCCTGATCCAGAGGTCATATCTTAGCAATTAATAGCCTTTGAGGACATTCCCTTTACTCCCTCGCCCCATGAACATGACCACTCGACTTCTGAACAACCATAAACATTAATCAGTCACTGTGGTCTGCAATAATCAGTGCTACAGTGCTATATGAAGAAATACATTATTTTATGCCCTTATTTATTGCACTGAAAAGAAAATGAAGTTGTTTGAGTTTACAAAGTTCCATCATAATCTTCAGGCATCTCCTCCCCTTACTAAAAATCTGGGGTCATTTGAGTTATTTGTCTGTGGTCATTCCATGTCTTTACTCTTCCTGGATGTCCCTCTCCATACTTTTTAGTTCTGTAACTTCCTGTCTAAGATGAAGTAGAAAAGTGGATTACTTGCACCCTCTATTCATAAATATGGGATGCATAATTTTGTTTCTGTGTGGTTTTCATAATTCTTCTAAGAAATATAAAGATTTTTAAATGCAGTTAACGTGGGTTCTCGTGAATGTCTGTAGAAGAAATACCTACATTCTTTTACATACTGCACAACCAAAATGAATCTAAAAAGGTTTAACACTTAAAAACCGCTTCCCAGCAAAACATATCTAAAGTTTTTGCTATGCAAGAGTAGCTTCACAGTGAAGCAGATCAAGCCTTTAAAATATATGACTTACTTAAACAGTAACATTATTAAGTCTCCCCCAAACCATTTACCTTTCTAGGTACACCATTAATGTGAAGCTTCACCATGTATTTGCCACATGGATTATATTCTGGTTCTCCTTTCTTATTCTGAGGGTAAATTATACTGTTAGAAAAAAACAAAATGGAGGAAATTTTGATATAAATGACTTGGCTGTACATACACTGATAAGAAAAAAAGTGGGATTAACATAGTCTGTTTCTGGAATTTACACTGAACATAAATAAGGAATTTCTAATGAAAAAACTCAAATTTAGTAAAAATGACAGTTATGTTTAAATAATTGTATTTTTCAAGCCTTGCTCTAGCTGCAGTTCTCTGCCTAATATAATAACAAAAATAACATGAGTAACCCAATTGTTTCTCTGACAGAAACAAGGCAAACAAATTTATCTTACTATTAAACAAATGGTATTTACATATCTGTAGTATAAATACAGTTTTTGCCTGAATAACAACTCAAACATTTGAAGAAGACAGTGCAGAACTCAGTGCTCTTGAAAAGAACACAAGTTCAGTTCTAACAAATGTAGATTAAAATAAAAAAAATCCAGGAACAATGTTCACACACTGGTCTGTCAACAGGTTCCCAACAGAATCTTCCGGACTTATGCCAAATTTATCACAGGGTGCTAGTCAAGTGGAACTAAGATAGCGTTGTTAACATTAATTCTGCAATGAGGTGCAAGATGGACTACCTGTTACACAGCACTTGGTATATCAAAGTAGGAAAATAAACCTATAAAGCATTGTAAGTAAAATTCTTATTAAAAACCAAACAAAACTTTCCAAACTATTTATTCATCCTCAAAGCACATCTGAAGGTAGATTCTAGTGTCTGTATCCACATCTATATAAAGTTGGCTTCCCTCTCGGAAGTGCTAAAGCCACATGAGTCCCAGGGAGACTAAGGTGAAACTAATGCTAGTTTTTACTGTGTCCAACTGTCACAGAACATACTGCAAAAGCTTGTCAGTATGAAGTCTGAAAAGATCTTAGAAAGCAACAACTACCTACCTTGTGATCAATTTTTTGTTATATCTTCTTTCATATGCTGCACTGATAGCTAGTGATGCCACGAAAGAACAATCTGACACTATTGTCTATAAGGAAAAGAAAAACAGTGAAGACATTTAGTAATAACTTAGATACTGAAAGACAAACGGGGTATGTGGAGGGAAGGAAAATTGTCAGTTAGTAATTCCCTTCAAAAGGGAAAGGATTTGAATCAAGAGAAGCAAAGTTACTAATAAAAAGGCAAGAAATGTATGCTTGCTCAATGTGAGGTCCCTACAGAGCAAACCAGAGTTGGAATTATGATGACAATCAGAGAGGCAAGTGCAGATACCTCAGTATTCACTCACACTTACTCCCTCCTCCCCAAAACACCCTGCATAATACAAATCATATCCAATGGCATAACCTCTCGCTGATTTCAGAATAGCTTGGGCCATCTGCAACTTAACACTAAACAAGACATTTCCAATATTCTCAACGGGCCACTCTGCTTGCTGTAAAATAAAAATGTAAAAGTCTTGTGCATTGCTTTTTCCATGCAGTAAATTAAGTGAACAATTTGCTGCAGAGTACACCTTGCCTTTTTTCATACTAACCTTACCACTATTTCTAGAAAACAGGATTTTAATCTGGAATTCAAATTCTGTTTTTCACTTCCACTTCTAACACACCTGTTTATTGTGCATGGAAACCAAAGCGATACTATTTATTTATTTATTTATTTATGTAATCTCATGAGAGCCAAGGAAAACACTTTCACATTTGGGGATTCCTTTTTGAACAAGAAGGTTTTACATGCCCTGCAATAAGTTGCTAACAGCATGTATTTCTCTTTAGGAACAATTTACCTGCTTTATACTGAAACTTGACACAGTATAAATCATTGTAGGGTTATTTGTTATGTCATCTGGTCGCACCCACTTGGCAAACATTGCTTTCTGTTTGGGAGATAATGGCAATTTTCCACATTTATCACTAGATTTAAGAGAGAAAAAAAGTAGAATTAAAATCAATGTCAGTTTAGAAAAGCTTTTCGTGGCATGTCCAGTCTTATATATGTCTGATAGATGGTGCAAAATATGTGCAGAACAATTGCACACCTTTGTATATGGAGCTGTAAAACAATTTCAAAGAATACTGCTGCTGTGTTTGAGATTTTTAGGTTAAAAAAAGCAAAAACATTAAATAAAACCCAAGAGCTTCCTTCATACAGGACTGAACAAGAGCAGAAACTAATTCTTAATATATTTCAGAGTAATAATAAAAAGTTTCTTCAGTTCTGAAAATATTGAGGCTTGTCAATCCTCTTTAGTGGAAAATTGAAAAAAAACCAAACCAAAACCAAAACCAAACAAACCAAGCTCAGGTGTCTGTCTATTTTAGCTCAGCAATCTTAACATATTATTATGAATGAATCTCATGAACAAAGCTCTAGCAGTTACATATAATTTTCTCAGAATAGTCCTTTACAGAGGAAATGGTTATCACCTTCATTTTACAGGTAACTGAGGCAGGGGGAGCTAAACTCATGAGCATGAAGCAGAATCAGGAAACCGACCCAAGCTGCCGGCCCAGCATTCCAAAAACCCAAATACAGTGTTTTCCTCATAGGCCTGAAGACACAACTGCAAAAGCACTGCAGAGTAAGATCAGCTAACATTAAACAGTTTCAAGATCAGACTGGAAAAAGGAAGTGGTAATATTTAAATATCTCTGCCTAAATAATGCTTAAAAGTCTTCTTAAACAATTTTAAACTCTGAAAAACAAAACATAGAAATATCAAATATGGGAAAGCTTTGGAAAGAAAAACAAAAGCAAAGTTCAGTAATTGAATCACACTTACGAAAATGGCATAGGGAAGGCAAAACGTTCCCTCAGATCAACACTCATGAAAGGTACATATTCAATGCCATTAATTTTTGAAGTTTTCCTGCAAGTTGTAAGAAAAAAACAATATAGTTACAAACCTATGTATCATCTTTCAAAGACTACGTTCCAGTAGGTAACAACAAAATTATTTTTTAAAAACTAACAAGACACAGTGCTTCTGAAAACAAGATGTCTACCTCTTGAAAACGAAACAACCACTGTATTTAGTTGGGTTTGAAAGGTGCAGTACTTGATGGCTCGGTCACTAATCCTGGAAGTACATACCTGCAGACAAGTCACCATGCCAGGACAGAAATTATCATCAGCCACAAACCTCTTCATAGTTCTAGAAGTCACATTCAAAACTATGTTTGTCTAAACAGAATTTCTCAAGTTCCTTAAGCCTCTCATTAAAGAGTGTCTTAGGATAAGTTGACAGCACTTAACTATTAGCAACACTTAGAATTCATCTAATTGTGGCAGTATTTTGGAACACTTTTGTCAAATGACAATTAAAAAAATACTGCACATTTTTATTAGTACATTTTTGACTAAAGCACACAGAACACATTCTAAAAAAATTAGAATCATATGTCAATGTAATTTAAGTTTCAAACAAGGAGTTAACTGGAAAAGGTAAGTGAAATATTTTTAAATCAAATGATGATTAAAAATGTGGAACAACTTGAAGTTCTCTTGCAAGACTTAAACAACAACAATAAAAAAACCCAAAACACCCAAACCATCCACAAAACTAGAAACATTCACTGCACAGGTGCTACAAGAGGAAAAAAATTGGAATTTTAATAAGGCAATTCTTAATTCTCTACAACTTTTCAAACACATATACATTTCTATCTTCATGACCATATCCTCAGTACATTTAAGTCCCCTCAAGTCAACAGACTAAATGTTTTATGATCAAATCCTGGACAGTGTTGAGCATCACCTCTGTCACAATATTTTTATTGCGTGGGGAGGAGGAAGGCTGAAACACCTATCAGACAATGCATTTATTTTTTTTAGATATCTTTGATAGTTTTAAAAATTCATTATTTTGGCTAAAGGTTTTATGGATTATCTGTAGCTTATTCCTCCTATAATAAAAATCAAAGCAAAAGGAACAGGATGTAACAGAAATCACAGTCCTACAAAATATGCTTCCTCAATTTCCAGTAAAGCAGTAGTTGTATAACCTATACAAACATTTTTGTACCTTGACTTCTCAGAGCTGGATCTTTCATGAACTAAGTCAGGTAGGTTGTGTCTAACATACAAAAATAAGACTATGAAAAATAATCCTGGCAGTCAGTTAAAATAAATTGTCTTCTAAATACACTCTGGAAAGTACTCCGTGAATAAAAGCCACTAATTCCATTACTGTAGAGAATACAAGCATTTATTAATGTGCAGGTAATACCAGCAATGGGGTTTGTAAGATGTGGTTTTCCAGCCCTCTGTTTATATACCTCATACTTCAGCTGTTTCAGTCTACTGTGTAAGATGCACAAAGGGTGTGAGTCTACTGTAAAGATGCACAAATGATAACATTTTGGAAAACTTGTCTGGAACTTACCTGAGTACTTCAATCTCCTCTGCAGTGTATCTCTGACCTTGAGATTCACTAGCTTGTACTGCTCGGATTGTCTGTGGTTTATCATTTAAAGAAAAATCAGGTCCCAAAGGAAAGAATGTCCTGACTGGCTGATTTGGTTTAGCTGCAGTTGACTTCTCCTTCTGAGATGACTTTGATACAGATTCCTTCAGTGCCTCTGCTCTAAAGCAAATAAAAATGCATTTTGCTTACAACAATGATAAAAATAAAGTCATGGTTCAATTATTGATTTGCTTGGTTCATGTTCCCACATATGTTAAACTGAATTAACAAATGCTCAAGGTGACCAATATCATTTTTCCTTTAAAAAAAACCCCCAAACCCATAAATTTCTGATGCCAGTACTTCTTTATTTTCCTGTTCTAGAATAAATTAAAATATAGCATTTCCAATTCATATATAAGCTACTTTTGGCAGAACTCATTAGATTTATGTTGCCTTTAAAATATACTAATAGAAGAATTTGTGTAGGGGTTCATTACCTGGAACCTCAGAATAAGACCACTGAAACACACAGAAAACTGATTTGTGTCCTCTCATATCTTCAGGATTTAATTTGTCTAGCAGTTACAATAGAGAAAAAACCCACTAGCTCTCTCACAATCCAGCATTTCAACTGCTTGAAGACTGGATATTCAGGAGACATATTTTGTTGTTGTCGCATTAAGCTACTGGATAGTCACACATATGCAAAATGTGGGGTTTTTTCTGTACACAGACCAAGAAGTGCTGAAAACCAGCTTATACTGAAACTTAGCCCAATATAGTCTGTTATTCACCATCATGAAGCTGATTTAAGGAGTTACGTTGAACCTACAATTGCATAACTTGTTTCAGACAGACTCCACTCCACTAGATCTACCTATATAATTAGATTGATACTGTCAAGGTAAGTACTTCCCAGTTTCCAAGCCATCTTCCTTATGGAGGGATGCTGGCACCTTGACTCAGCGCTGGACTGGATTCAGCATTTTTATAGAAGCCAAAAATTGTAGTAGAATCCTCTGGTTTATGTCTCTGAAGACTGAAGTAGTGCACTGGTACTAACGAATACACAGTCCTTTCCTAATTCTGCGTGTCCCAAGACTCCTAGAGGGTTGGCACAACAGCTACTATATTCAAGGTTACAGCAGCTGGCAGCTATCTGCCAGGAGAACTCTACAGGAGGTAGGTTTACCCAGAATCCATACTCTGAAGTACAGAACAGACATGCTAGATTGAGAATTTTACTCAGAGATTTCACTTATTCCTGACAACAAGTATGTTTAGTAACATTGGCAATACTCACCTATCCAATGCTTGTCGAGCCAGCTGTTTCAGTTTTGACTGGAGGCCTGCTTCTGAAGTTTCAGTAGCCTTAAGTGCAAAAGAAAAGAAAAAGCTACATATCCAAAAAACCTGCAGGTTTTATAGGCTCCGTTTGTCAAATTCCACACTTATAGATTACAGAGAATAGTAACTAGCTATTTTTTCAAATTCTCTTTTGAAATGAGCAAATATGGTTTTTTTTAAAATCTCAACATAAAAAGCATACTAAGTAAGCAGGTATCAGTCTGCTGGTCTACTGAATGCTCAACGAATTAAAGCGATTTTTAAAATTCTTCAGCGTGGGCAACACTGTATATACAAAAAAACTGCCAGAAGAATTAACCATATTAAAACATTATGGGCAGAAAGAAGACAAAAACAAATGTTAGGTGTACTACCAAGTTTAGATATATTCCAATTACTTTCCCCAAACAAGTCAAAAATAATCATGGTAACTTAGGAAAAAAAAAAATTTGAATGTTTAATTTCATAAAATACAAACAAGATTGCTTGCAAGTTAAAAATCTTGTTCTTGCATGTCTAAGGTATAAAATACTCTATGACAGGGCACCAAAACAGAACGTCAAGAGTGCTAACTTCTGTGCCCATTTGGGAGGTCAGTTATGACAGTTTACTCATACAAGCAGTTTATGCTTTTGTTTCCCTTACAGATGAAGCATGGCTACTGCAGCTAAGCAATCTGCAAGAGGCACAACATGAGGTGTAGCTTATGTGACTCAGAAGCAGGTTTCAGGCTCTAGCTTTGTACCTTGACTGATTCTCCCAGGTCAGCTAGGTCAATTGAGTTAAAAAAAAGGCAAGCTACTTTCACCCCAAGAAACAAAACTAGAAACAGCCTCTACAAGCAACTTTGAAAAGACTCTGAAAGATGTATGAAGGTAATAAGTGGAGATGGAACATCAGCAAACCCATCTACAAGTCAGCCATAGAAAAGGAGGAGTGGCTGCTCTCTGAGTACTTCAAGGGTAAGGAAGAAACAAAACTCTCCACCTGAATATACTGAGGAGAAAGAAAGAAGTAAAGCTTCAAGATAGCTTCAATCTTCTTTCATCCTGGGAAGAAGGGACTTTTTGATCACCCCAAGGGATGAAGCCTACAGTTACCTTAACAAAATAATATGCTAGTCAAGATTAAAAGAAATTTCAGCAGTATCTGTACCTAACAAAATACCCAATAAAAGCAGTTGTTAATATGAGAACATTTCAGACAAACTTCTATATATGTAAGTAATAGATTGACAGTATCAATCCCACAGCAGAGGAAAAACAGTCTGCTGCTGCAGTAAGTTTTATGCAATAGACTGAAGACGTTTTGCTCCAACACCTCAAAAGTGGAAAAACTAGAGCAGTTCTACTCACTCTTGATCAAGTCACACTGTATCACCAGGTTTTTTTTTAGCTTACATAAAACCAGTTTACAGAATTCAGAAAAATAAGATTTCACTCCAGAATGTAGCAAAAGTAACATTCCCCTCCCAACAACCCACATATATTTACATTGTAAAAAGGGAAGAAAGGGAAAAATCAAAACAGACTTGGTGGAGTTACACTATGATGGTGAGCTCTTCCTGTAATGAGTTAGTTAAGGCAAATGAACTTAAGGGAAAAAAGCAGTACCTGTAATTATATTCTCCATCATTTATGTAAAGGCCAATTCATCCCTACCATTAACTTCAGTGTGAATTGAATTCATTTGTAACACCTTTAATGTTAAGCACTGAGTAATCAAGTAATATTTTTACTAGTTTTGACGTTAGTAGATGGTTACGTTTTCAGAAAGTGCTACATAAAAATTTCCCTTAAATTACTTCTTTTAATGGAGTCAGAAAGAATTATAGCTGACATATTAGCAAATAATTTTCAGTTTTAACTGCTTTTACTTTCTGTTTTAGTGTTGCATTTGCTCCAGGGCAAAAAATTAACATAAAAAAGTTCCAAAATATTTCTAGTTTTTAGTATAATCCAGTTAAAGGAAAACACATAAATTGCAAGTCCCCATAAATTTACAGTGTTGAATAGCAACATAACATAAAGACTGGAAGAAACACTAAAAAAAAAAAAAGGGGAAAAAAAGACCAAAAAAATAGTTTTTAGAAATACAGGTACTCCATTTTTAAGCCAGTCTTTAAGGGTCAGTCACTTGTGTAAGTGGAAGAATTTCTTACCATCACATAATTCCACCAAGTTAACCTGTAGCTTAACATACTGTTTTCAAACAGAGTTCCACCGCTTCTGTGTACAACTCTATAGCTTCTTCTGCATTGCCTTTATCATCTTCATCAAATGCCTGTGTAACTAGGAAGTGAGCACGCTCCAAGTCCAACTGTTGTTTTGACTTCAGAGGATCTGTGTTCTGTGACTGAACTAAATGAAAAAGAAAGTATTTAACTTTCTACAGCAGCAGATGTGTGAAAACATCCTTAACATGACACTGAAACAGTAGCAGTTCTAATCAGATGGGTAATACATATTTTTTGGCTGGAAAGCAAATCTTTCTAAACTTTTCTAAAAACACTTCCACACGGACAAGAAAACATTTCCCTCTCTGCCACCTCCCTCACCTCCCCCCCCAAAGCAGAAATAAACTCTCATTTCACATGTCAAATAATGTAAATAAAATCTCTTTCACACTACACTAAGAACAAGGTAGTTTAATTATGTAAAATATTGCATCATTTGTGAAAACACATCACGTGTTGCAATACACACGTTCCTTAGGTGTCTGTCTCGTTCAACACCTTCGTCAATGACCTGAAGGAGAAGATGTAGTGTAGCTTCATCAAAGCTGCAGACCCCAGCAAACCCATTCACTCAAGGACGCAGCTGCTATTCAAAGGGACACAGACAAGGTAAAGTAACAGGCTGACAGGAACCTCAGGAAATTCAACCAGAACAAATCCCTGTGTCTGGGACAGACTAACACCCTGCAGGGTACAGCTCTGCCAAGAAGGGCCTAGAGTCCTTGGGGGACAGCTGGGTAAGCCAAAGCCAGCAGGACCCTGGCAGTGATGAAGGTTAACAGCACCCTGGGCTGTGTCAGCAGGAGCACAACTAGGAGATAGGCAGGAAGCGATTAACATCCTCTACTCAGTACTCAGTAGACTGTATCTGGAATACCACGTTCCATCTCAGGTCCTTCATGATGGTTGCAGCTGGAAGACTTAGCCTTTTGAGAAGAAGCTGAGGGAGCAGGGCTTGTCCAGCCAGGAGGAGAGATGGCTTTGGAGGGACCTAATAGCAACCTGCCAGTAACTGCAAGGTTATCAAGAAAATGGATTCAGGCTCTTCACTGCGGTGCAAAGAAAGGGAATGAGAGCCAGTGGCTATGATTTGAAATAGAGGAGAATTCAAATATATATATATATATATATATCTATCTCTCTAAAATCACTAGAAAGACAACTGGGGCCCAGGGGCACCTGGAATTTCTGTCCTTAGGTGTTTTCAGGACCTGACTGCACCTGAGCAACCTGGTTCAAAAAACAATGTCTACCCTGCTTTGAGCAGGAGATTTGTCTATAGACCTCCCAAGATATCTTTCTGACAAATGATTCCATGAATTGAGAATTGCAGGTGTGCAAAAATTTCAGATTCTGGTTTAAGCACAAACACTGAAACTGGATCAAACAAGGAAATCCTTATGAGAGCAAAGAGCTCTTTCGCCCTCTCAAAGTTAGTAATTCTACATAAATACCAGAACCCACTTGCTTCAAATCCACCATGCAGCTGAGGCTTAGATGCGAGTTTTTATTTGTTCCTGATCAATTTTTATAGCTATATTTAATTACTTTCTCAGGTTTGTTCTGTAGATGCTGTTCCTAAGAGTATTAAAAAGAAAAGAATACCCAAGCCATTAGGAAGTAAGTCTCCGCTTCATTTCTTATGTATCACAATTCAAAGCACTGATGTGCTCATTGTATTTGTGGTCTTTCACAAAGGACAAGGAAATTAGAATAATGAAAAACAGAGCAAACATCATTGATACATATTTCACAACACCAAAAGGCTTTCCACTCAATTAATGTAAGCAGAGGTTTAATTAGAAAGCTCCTTACCCACCTGCTGAATGGAGAGCTTGAACTCTCTCCAAGTACTCATTTATTTTTTCTTGAATATTTTCCAAGTTGGACCCTGCCATCCCAGCATAAATCAAGGCTTGTGCAGCTTCCTGCAGGGAAAAGAATTTGAGACAAAGTTAATGTTTGCTGCCTAGAAAATTATTTTCGGTGAACAGAGGGCCTACAGCAACCATGAATTTCATGAAAGTAAGCCCCTGCATCTGCAAAAAAGACTCAATGGCTGCAGGGAAATTCTGCAGGAAGGAACAAGTTTAAAGTTATAAATGAGATCATGTTCAATTTCTCACACATGGGACAACCAGGTTCTATAAGGACAGATCTTAGGTCTGTCTGTATAGTAACGTGTAGAATTAGGAGATTTTAAGCAAAATTTTTCAAGCATGCACTGAAATCAGCTAGGTAAATCTCACAAGCCACAAACTGCCTTTTATTTTTAAAATTGTGGATTTAAGGTTAGGGGAAAAAAAAAAAAGCTACATACCAGGTTTTTTGCATTCAATCTGATAATAATGAAAGTAATATCCATAATAAGTAATACTCGCAATAAGTAATAATAAAAGTACTCCCCACTTTTGGTCATACAAGCTGGTAGTGACGAGATTACAGAGAAAATTCCAGAAGCAATTAAGAAGGGCTTCAGGTCAGTAGGGAGACTGGTTGCAGGATCGGGAGCACAGGTAATTTTTTCCTCGTTATTGGCATGGAAAAAACCCCACACTTTTGTGGCAGTGCTTGTCTTTCCAGCAGTGGCAGAAAAGAGGAGGCGGTCACGTAGCAGGCTGAGTATATAAGAAGCAGAACAACTGTCAGAGAGCTGCTCCATAAAGACAGTGCTCAGAATAGGCTGCTGTGTATCAGGCAAGCACAGAGCCATGGCCAGAGGATCTCTTGCGTGCTTTATGGTACTGCATGCTCCCTGTCAACATCCATCACCACATTACAACATATAAAACGTCCACAGCAACAGAAAGGTAAATAGAAGTACTGCTCCACTTACATGTAGCAGTTAACTACTGTTAAGGTCTAGCATACAACTTTTTTTTTGGGGTGGGGGGGATGGTTTGATGCACTATAGATACATGTATACATTTGTCTGTGACATATCACAAGCACAAATGTGACAAAACAGATGCTGTTCCATAATGGTAAGTTGTCTACATATGACGTAAAGAACTAGTGCTGCAAAAAACAATGCATAATTGATGTTGCTTCTGTGATTTCAAGCACAACTGTTCTGCCTGATGTAAACATAATGAAAACCGTCTTTTATAAATTAAAGTTCTACAGGACTGAAGCAGTTGACCAACTGCCTGCAGAGCAGCATGCCAAGTGTTTCCAGTGACAAGATGGATGTGCAATTCAGAGTTGGTATTTATAATCTCTTCAATGCTGCTACTGTTCTTTGGCATGAGTAGTGTGTCACAGTCACACTAAGCTAACTACTGATCATCAGTTTGCAAGTTGCAAATTGCTGGTCAACAGTCAAACCTAGCAACAGTCTACAGCAGTTTTGCTGAAGTTATCAGGTGCCCAAATACATTCCTCACATTTCTGTAGAACACTATTAGCAAGTTACCCTAAGCTGATTCGCATGTAGCATCTAGGAATCTATGAAAATTACAAGATAGCAGGAAGAAAACAGTGCTTGCTAGCCATAAGAATTCCAGACAGGTGCATTTGTTGTCTATTGGTAACAACAGAGTAGTACTTGCCATGCTTCATCCTTAAGGTTGAGTTCTCGCTGAATCCAGTTCAGCACCCAAACTGACCCACATGCTTAGTAATTGCACCAGTGGGCTCTGAACCGTTTAAAGTAGTTGATAAGAAAGTTGGTGACAGGACAGAGCTTATTTACACTATCCAAAGAAATGCATAAAGTATCCCCAAAATACTAGACGATATTCTCTAACTACTCTTGTTTCAGCTAACACTGAAAGTTCAGAAAGCCAAACCTATCTAGGCTAAATCATACATAAAGAATTCTGATTTAACAATACCTGCTGATTAGCTCTAACTCCCCCCGATCTTAACATATGTGAAGGTGTTGGTGTTCAAACCTAATCTGGCACAAGAGTCAACACATAATCTTGGACTGCCAAGAGTCACCCGTGAATACCAAAAATCTTAGCAGCAGAGTTTTGGTTCGAGCAGTGTCCATAACCATGCTGCTCTGTGGCCCAGCTTTTGCAAACCAGAAAACATTTTCTAGATTATACTCTCTTTGTCACATGTAGCTGCAGGTGCACCATGACTGCTAGGGACACATTATTTAATTTAGCAAGAATATCACACATATGCAGCAAGTGAAAAAGATTTTCCATATACTGTACAAAAGCATACAGGTGTGATTGTTTGCACAAAAAGATTATTTTTTTTCTGAAGAGCATTCAATAATTTCTTCCAGCTATATTGAGAAGTGTACTGTAATAAAGTAGCACTGTGCACAGCTGCCAGACCATATGCACACAACTGCTGATAAGCACAGAACTGATCAGTATTATTATCAGTATTATTATGGGTAACTGTAACTTTTGCATATATAAACTTAGCTCACCCTACATTAACAACCAGGTTAAAAGAAAAAAAAAAAAAAAGATACTTCTTTTCTCATCCTTTAATATTTACATGCATAGGCCACCATGAAAATAACACTATGCTTTTCATACATTTCAAGGACACCTAGAACTCAGGAAGTAAAAGGCCAACTGCAGAGTTGTTGGTAAGTTGTGGAAAAGGATTAGTCTGGCAGGATAATAGAATATGTGGAATGATTAGTGCAACAAGGACAAATACAGGCCTCAAAGAAATCCCTCCTTGCAAGTGAAAAGTAAAGCCAGTGGGATATGAAACTTTAATGTAACTCTGCAAAACATAAATCCAACAAAATAAGACAACTTACACAAGTAGAAAAACGCATAATGGTTGCAGAGAAGCTACTAAATACCGGTAGTAAGTCTATAGAGACTGAGCAAGACACTGAATCAACTTCATCGCACCTTTGGTTACACCAGCTTGAAGCTGTTATTAAAATAATAAAATCAGATCCCTAACAGAAAGAATATTCACGTGATTAAAAACATGTCACAGGTAGCTTGTGATCTGAAGCTAGCTCACTGTTGAGCACCTTATATTTCATGGGGCACTTCTCTACTTATTTGATGACTGATTATACAACAGAGTTGCTTCCAGCTGCACACTCAAGATCTGCAACATGCCCACTTGCAGCTCTCCAAAATGCTCTGTGCTTACATCCCCAACAGAAAACCGGGCAGCCCTTCAGGATGGGGAGGCACCAGGAATGAAACTGGAGAACCAGAGGGGCAGAGATGTTTTCAGTCGGGTTCCGACGAAGCTTCCTTCCCGAGAAGCACCTTCTGTCTCCAGCAGCTAGAGGAAGCGTCCGTATCCACTTGTCAAGGACCG